CAAAACGGACTTTGCCATACCAGTGAAATGAATGTGAAATCCCTGCTGGGGAGGGGAGATGCTCCTGGCAGCCCTGCTGTCCTGGCTGCACTCTCCACCTCTGATTTTTTTTTTTTAATTATTGTTTTTATTTTGTTTGTCGGTTTTTGGGTTTTGTGGTTTTTTTTTTTTTTTTACCCAAACACAAGGCACGGGATAAAGAAAGGGGCGAGGCTGACTCGGCTGGGTGGGGTGGGCTGGAGCTGAGGAGAGTTAAAAGGGTAGAGCCTGTGGTTTATTCCTTCTCCCAGGGGTGCAGCGAGCCCACGGGAGCTTGGCCAAGAAAGACCTGGCTGTGGCTGGGGGGGGATTCAGCCCGAGGTTTTCCCATGGAAGAGGCTGGAAAGGACTCCCAGCACGACGGGGAAGAAGCTTTGCAGGGTCCCCGTGTCCTCCATCACAGCATTTTCCCAAATGCCCGGCCAGCTCCCCACCCAGCTGGGCTTTCCAGAGCTGACTTGGCAGGTCCACCTGCCTCGTGCCCCCTTTCCACACCCCCAGTGCTCTCCCAAGCCCGTGTGGCTGCAGCCAGGGCCCTGCTCCAGCTGCTCCACCCCGGAGGCGCCAGGGCTGTCCCTTGTCCCCAGAGTGGTGGCTCTCTGGGTGCTGGAGTTGTCTCATGGAGCCCGTTAAGAATGTCCCCTGGTGGCTCAGCACCCAGAGGAGGGTTTGAGGCCCTTCCTGCACCCACCCTGACCCCGCTGCCGGGTCCCCCCTCCCCACGCCGGCACTGCCGGGAGCACAGACCTGGCTGCTCTTGCAGACTGAGCTGGACCCAGGCTCTTCCCCACAAGGAGCTCCTCAGAACTGTTATTTTGGGGGTTGTTCTCCATTTAGCAGGATTTAGGAGCTTTTTAGGGGGAGAAACTGCCTGCTGGGGCCAAGGGGAAGCGAAAGGTCCTTCTTCCTCCCCTTCGAGGAACAAGGGTGATGGGAAGGAGTGCGGTGAGGTTGGGACTTGCAGCTCCAAGCTTGGAACGCTCAGAAGGGGACAAAGGGAAGGATTTGTGGGGTGATGCTGCTGTGGTCCTCGGCAGTGGGAGCACCTGAGAGACTCTGTGGCTCTGCAGATGGGTTTTTTTCCGTCCCCGTTCCTGCTCCTCCTGCAGCAAATGCCAAAAAACTACAAGGGAAAAACCTGCTGCGAGGCAGCCCCGGTTTCTGCTGACAAAGGGCTAAAACCCCGAGCCCCTTCCTGCTTCGTGTCGATTCCTCGTGCTCCCAACCCCCTCCTGCAGCCGTCTGGGCCATCTCTGAGCGGGAGCCGAAGACCTTCAGCTCCACAGCCGCACCCCTGGGACTCAAGGAGCAGCTCTCTCAGCACTGTCAGGGACGTTCGTGCTTTTGGGTGAAAGTCCTCCCAGGGAAGAGCACGGGCCCACCTGGACCAGGGGAGACTCACCAGTGGCACTTCTGCTTCGGTCTCAGGCAGAGGGAAACGCGGGGGCTGTGCTGGGTTTTGAGAACCGCATCCAAACTGCTCCTTGGGGGGGAGATCAGAGCCCTCTCCGACGGCGCTGGAGCCCAGGGGTGCTGGAAAGGCTGCCAACCCTCCAGCCCCACGTGAGTGCCAATGCGTCGTCCCCAACAGGGGACGTGCCCCGCTGGTTTCCCGCCCTCTCAGCTTCTCAGGCTTTGACAGAAGTGAGAAGTCAGCGCTGCCTTTTACATCCAGAGGGGTTGTGCCTTTTTTTTTTTTCCTTTTTTTTCTTTTTTTTTGGAGAGGGGCAGCATCAGCACCTCTCTCTTCCCCGGGGGAAAAAGCGCCCTACGGAGATGACTTCATGCTCGAGCCGTGGTGGGACAGCAGCGCTGCCTTTCCCAGAGGGACACAGGGTTGTTCCTCCCTGGGGAGGAAGGAAGAGAGGGGAAAAAAAAAGAAAAAAAAAAGAAAAAAGAGAGCACAGCCAACCTCGTTTTTCAGCCTCAGCTCGACGCCACCGATTTCACTTCACCCGGCAAAGAACCCAAGGAAGCACCTTAAACTCGGGGACAGCCCCTGCCGCCCGCCGTGGCTTTTCCCTGGCTTGGGGCACGGGGAGTCCGCCTCGTGGGAGGGGTTTTTGGGATCCTGAGCAATAAAAAAAAGCCCCCCACTCCCCCACTGTGGGAACCTAGGGAAGACTGGAAGTGTTAAGACACGTGTGACTCGACCTGCCAAACCGCGGGGAACCTGCACTTTCTCCGTTCTCTTCGACGGAACCGACTTTGATTTGCTGATTTCTCGGGAGGGGATAAAGTGATTCCGCGTCGATTCGGTGATTTCTTCTGGGCCTGGGGCGGGAGGGATGGGAAGGGCCGTGCCGGGGTCCCTCACGCCCCGTGGGGGCCTCCAGGAGCATCGAGGGAAAGGGCAAGCAGCAAAAACCTGGGTGGAAAACGCCTGAAAAAGGGAGATTTCCCCTCTCCCTGTGCCAGGGCTGTGTGTGCCCACTGGGGATGATGCCCGGGAGACCCCCCCGCAGATTGCTCCGAACGCTCCGTCCTCGGCGTCTTGGAGACGTTTCCCAACCTTCCAGCCGTGGGATGTTCGGCCGCTCTCCCTTCCAAGAGCCCTGGGAAGCCTCTCACGGAGATGGTTCTTGTCCAGACCAAGATTAATTTTCGTGTTTGTTTGTTTGCTCTGCCAGTTTAGCTGAGTGTCCATTTCCACCCGCAGAACCCTCACACTGTGTATAAAACAAAAAAAAAAAAAAAAAGGATCAAAAATATATATAATATATATTCTTGTGAATGTTGGTGCAAAAGAGAAAAATATATAAAGTTTCGGTCGGTTTTATGTTATTTTTTATCTCTTATGAATGAAAGGAAGGAATGGAAAACCTTTTCTTTCCATTTACCACCCTCCACACACACCTACCTGTAGATACCAACAGGTTTCATGGAAATGTTTTACTTTTTAGATTTAGGAAAATGCTTCTGTTCTCATTGAATGTTCTGTCTTGTAAGATTGTAATTTCTATTTTTTTAAAAAGAAAAGAAAATAACTAAATAAAATTTCCTCTTTCGGACCAGTCAGCTTAGGAAGGGAGGGCAGGGGAGGGAGAAACTTTTATTTAAGGACAAAACTCGTTGTCTGAATTTTTCATGACATTAAATAAAAAGTAATATAATGTATGGATGAAAACCTTTTTATTGAGGCGTGTTCTATAGGTACGTAGATGTGTATTGCACAAAGTTTGCAGGAGGAAAAATAAAGTCTGTTTTTGCAAGGTAAAAAAAAAAAAAATTAATAATGTTGGAAAAGGTGATTTTAAATTTTAGCAAAGGGTGAGAGTGGAAGGGAACCTCTCGAAATCATGGGAGAAAACTTTAATTTCCCCATGGGTTCAGGACCCAGCTGGACCAGAATCATGGAATGGTTTGGGGTGGGAAGGTCCTTAAAGCCCATCCAGTACCACCCCCTGCCATGGGCAGGGACACCTTCCACCAGCCCAGGGTGCTCCAAGCCCCGTCCAACCTGGCCTTGGACACTTCCAGGGATCCAGGGGCATCACAACTTCCCTGGGCAAGCATGGCCCTCTCTCCAAGGGAGAGCCAAGATCTGGGAAGGGGCTTCATCTGGGCAACCCCTCCAGGCTGAGCACAGGGACAGTCCCTGGCAGCACAGGGGACACATTTTGGGGCAGGAGGTTGGGGACAGGTCTGGGGGATGGGGTTGGGGGGGGAATCAGGGACAGCCCAGGCACAGCAGGGATTCGTTTTCAACCAGTTCCCAATCCTGGGAAGGAAAGAATGCCCTGGATGTACAAGGGACACGTGGATGGCCTGCCCTGCTTACAGCAGGGGTGCCAGGGCTCAAAGTGCTGAGCTCTGCTCTGGGACCAGGGACAGGAGCCAGGGAAGGGCTGGAGCTGTGCCAGGGGGGTTGGGATGGATCTCAGGGAAAGGTTCTTCCCCCAGAGGGTGGTGGGCACTGCCCAGGCTCCCCAGGGCAGTGGGCACGGCCCCAAGGCTGCCAGAGCTCCAGGAGCGTTTGGACAACGCTCTGAGGGACAGGGGGGATTGTTGGGGTGTCCTGGGCAGGGTCAGGGGTTGGACTGGATGATCCTTGTGGGTCCCTCCCAGCTCAGGAGATTGAGGATTCTGTGATTCTCTGGACAGGTCAGAGGCACCCCTGGGTGTGAAACGCACAAATCCCACCCTCCTCTCCCTCTTCTTCCCCTGCAGATCTCCCCCAGTTCCCATTTCCCTGCTCCCTGTGCAATTCCAGAGCTGTGCCCCTCAGCAGCACAGCTGGAGTGTCCTGGAGCAGAGGGGAATGATGACATGGAATGCTTGGGGCAGCAGGGTCGGTCAATCCCAGGGTTTTGCCCCAGCAGCTCCCATTCCCAGGGGACAGCACAGCTCCTCTTTCACGTTCCCACATCGCAGGATAAATCCTGGCTGCCACAGAGAGCTGGGAACAGCCCGAAACGGGGCACAGCTCGTGGAGATGTGGGGGGAGCGTCACCACCCCCTTTGGGGTGTCCAGGGCACCGCTGTGTCCGTGTGGGAGCACCCAGGGAGCACCTGGAGCTGGGGGTGTCACACCCACGGTGCCACCAAACGGCTACACGGTGCCACTTGGACTTGATTTTCGTTTAAAAAGATATATCTTTTTGCCCTCCCCCCTAAAAAAAAAAATCAAGGTTTTTTGGTGTATATTTGGGGGGAAAAAATAATAAAAATATGGGAAATCTGTTATCCCTCTCTTACTGGTCCGGCAGCGCTGGATTTACTGGGGCCGAGTGACCTCTACTGGTTTATACTCAAAATATTCCCGGCGTGCCCGTGATCCGGATGGATGGAGGTGGGAAGCTCCTTCCCAAAAAAACCCGCCTTGCCCGGTTGGGAAGTGCCGGAGCCAGCGCCCCTTTCTGGGGACAATTCCCAGGAAAACTGGGCAGCCCAGGGGCCAAACGCAAGGGGCGACCCCCGAGAGGTGGATTTTAGGGAAACTCCGCAGAGTTTGGGGGAGTTTTAGGGAAAGTTTCCAGGGAGAAGCCTCAGTCTCTGCTTAGCCTGACACAGCCTGGGAGCGCTGGGACAGAAACCACAGCCCCAGGGCTTCGAAATGTTTTTTAAGGTAGAGTTGGGGCTGTAAATGGTGAGATTTTAAGGATTTTCAGAGAGCTGGGAGAGGGATCCCTACTTAAGGAGTCCCTAAGGAGTCTAATGGAAATAAGGAATTAAGGAGCTCTAGAAGCAAACCAAAGTGTTCAGGCTGGAAGGGACCAGAAAAAATAAATAACTAAATAAAATTTCCTCTTTCAGACCATCACCTTAGGAAAGGATGGCATGGGAAGGGAGAAATGTTTATTTAAGGACAGAACTGTTGTATGATTTTTTCATAACGTTAAATAAAAAGTGACACAATGCATGGATGAAAACTTTTTTGTCGAGGTGTGTTCTGTAGACACATGGATGTGTGAGCTGCACGAAGTTTCAAGGAAGAAAAATAACATCTGCTTTGCAAGGTAAAAAAAAAAAAATTAATAACGTTGGAAATTGTGATTTTAAGTTTTAGCAAAGGGCGAGAATGGAAAGGAACCCCTCAAAGTCATGGGAAAATAATTTTTTTTCTGTGGGCTCAGGACCCAGCTGGACTAGAATCATGGAATGGTTTGGGTTGGGAGGGACCTTAAAGTTCATCCCATCCCACCCCCTGCCATGGGCAGGGACACCTTCCACTAGCCCAGGTGGCTCCAACCTGGCCTTGGACACTTCCAGGGATGGGGCAGCCACAGCTGCTCTGGGCAACCTGTGCCAGGGCCTGCCCACCCTCACAGCCAACAATTCCTTCCCAATATCCCATCTCACCCTGCCCTCTGGCACTGGGAAGCCATTCCCTGTGTCCTGTCCCTCCATCCCTTGTCCCCAGTCCCTCTCCAGCTCTCCTGGAGCCCCTTCAGGCACTGGAAGGAGCTCTCAGGTCTCCCTGGAGCCTTCTCTCCTCCGAGTGAACCCCCCCAGCTCTCCCGGTCTCTCTCCATGTCAAAGAGCTCCTTTGGAATATTCCCTTGGATCATCCCCACCTTCCCCCCGGCAGAGCCCCGTCCCTCGCACAGTTCTGTCCCTCGCGGCCGCCGTAGCGCCGTGCCCGCCCCTCCGGCCCGCCCCGCCCCTCACATGACAGCGGGCTGGGCTGTTCCGCGGTGCACTCTGGGAGTTGTAGTCCTCGGCGCGGGGCGCGCAGCGGGGGCGGCCATGGGCGGGACTGCGTTTCCCAGAGCGCCCCGCGGCGGCCCCGGGGGGAGCGGGAGCGGGCGAGCCGTGAGGTGGGACCGGGGGCGCCGGGCCGGGGGCTGAGGGGGCGGGGAGCTGAGGGGGAGGATGGAGGGGGTCAGCAGGTGGCTTCGCAGGAGGGATGGCGGGGTCGGGGGGAGCAGAGCTGGGGAGGAGGAGGGAGCTGGGGGCCGGGAATGGGAGCAGGAGTGGGAGGAGGGATGGGGAGAGGGGCGCTCCTGGAGCGGGGGCGGCGGGGGTCGATGGAGCGAGCCCGAGGCTGGGGAGGGGGAGCTGGGGGGTCGAGGGGGGCCGGGGGAGGGAGGAGTGGAGGTCGCGGAGAAGAAATTGGGGGTCGGGAGGGAGCCTGGGGTCGAGGGGGGAGAGCTGGGGGTCGGGGGGGCGGCTTGAAGGGTCGGGGTGGAGGGAGCTGAGGGTCGAGGGTGGCCAGGGGAGGGGGAGCGGGAGCTGGGGGGTCCAGGAGGAGAAGTTGGGGGTCGTGGAGAGGGCGCTGGGGGTCTGGAGGGGGGAGCAGGGGGCTCGGAGGAGCTGTGTGGGGAGCTGGGGGCCGGGGAGGGGGCGCAGGGGGTCCCGGGGGTATAGCGGGGACGGGAGGGAGGGTGACAGTCCCTCGGCCCGGGGGGGATGTCAGGAGGGGTAACGGGGGCAGCCCCGGGGGCGGCAGGGGAGGGGGTGTCGGGGGGGCTGAGCTCGGGGAGGGATCGGGGACAGGTCTGGGGGGACCCGCGGGGCGTGCGTGGGGAGGAATCGGGGCCAGCCCCGCATCGGGGGCGGCCCCGGTGGGAGCCGCTATCGGGGGCAGCGGGGCGGGGGGGGGACAGGAGATGGAGGGTGGAGAGGGGGGTCCTGTGCCCTGCAGGGTGAGACCCCCACCCCCCGGAGACTGCGAGCTCCGACTGCTCCCGGCGGGGGAGCATCGGGAATGTGCCTTTCTCTGGCTCCTTCCTGCCTTAGCCCTGGGAGCAGCCCCCGGGACACGTCTGGAGGGTCAGGGGACACAGGGGACAGGGTGACACAGCCCGGCTGCTGCTGGGGAGGGTGGTGATCCTGCAGGGAGTGTGAGGGTGAAGCTCTCCGAGGGGTGTGGTTTGGGGGACCGGCTCCTCCAGGTGCTGCCCTGGGCAGAGGCACCACAGGCACGTCGTCGTGGTTTTGCTTCCCTCCCCTCTGCTCTCAGGGTTCTGGGAGTTCGAGAAGCTCTCGTGTGGAGCCTCTGTGATGAGGAGAGCAGTGAGTTAGGAATTAGGCAATTAATGGATGGATTAATTTAGCTTTTCTGTGTTATTCTGGGCTAATTAGTGTTGTTGCTGCTGCTGTCTGTGTGAGGCCATCTGAGCGGGTGACAGGGGGTGGAACAGGTCTGTGAGACCCAAGTGAAGGCTGGGCAATCCCCAGCCCTGAGATGTTTAACAAGGGCAGGTCCTGGATCCTTCCCCTGGGATGGGCAGCCCTGGATGCAGGGACAGACTGGGGAGTGAGAGGCTGGAGGGAAGGGCCCTGGGGGTCCTGGGCAGTGGCAAATTGGATCTGAGTCAGCAGAGTGTCCTGGCAGCCCAAAGAGCCACCCTGTCCTGGGGGGCATCAGGCCCAGCATCTCTAGCTGGGCCAGGGAGGGGATTGTCCCGCCCTGCCCTGACCTGGGGCGGCCTCACCTCGAGTCCTGGGGGCTGTTTGGGGACCACGGTGTCAGAGGGATCTGAAGCTGTTGGGGAGGGTCCAAAGGAGGGACAGGGAGCTGGGGAAAGGTGTGGAGGGGAAGGGTGTGAGGAGCAGCTGAGGGCACTTGGCTGGGTCAGCTGGAGCAGAGGAGACTGAGGGGAGACTCCTCGGGGCTGCAGCTCCTCCCGAGGGCAGGCGGAGGGGCAGGCGCTGAGCTCTGCTCTGGGACCAGGGACAGGAGCCAGGGAAGGGCTGGAGCTGTGCCAGGGGGCTTGGGATGGATCTCAGGGAAAGGTTCTTCCCCCAGAGGGTGGTGGGCACTGCCCAGGCTCCCCAGGGCAGTGGGCACGGCCCCAAGGCTGCCAGAGCTCCAGGAGCGTTTGGACAACGCTCTGAGGGACAGGGGGGATTGTTGGGGTGTCCTGGGCAGGGCCAGGAGTTGGGCTGGATGATCCCTGTGGGTCCCTCCCAGCTCAGGATGTTCTGGGATTCTGTGATAGTCCAGATTTTCCCTAATCTGAGGTGGTGAAACGTTTCCCAAAGGAGTCACAGTGAAAGGACTCCCGTTGTTCTCTGCCTGGACAAACAGCCCCGCTTGCCTTCGTGTCTTGAGTTAGGAGGGAAATGGTGTCCCTTGAACTCACACTGGGCATTTTGTCTGAGAGATCCTGGTGAAGAAAAGCTCCAACTGTCTCCAGTGGACTCCTGAGTCATGTGCATTGGACTGTAGACTTTGGAGTTATTCACTGACCACAGATGAACACACTGGAAAAAGGAAGTTCACACTGTGGTTTCCTCAGCGGGTGTGGCATTTTCCTCCCTCCACAAGCAGTGGGTTAGAGATGAAAAAAATCTCAGCAGCGGATTGCAGGGTGTTGGATTTTGTCTATTCCCAGTTAAACTGAAAATGTTCTGGAGAATAGAGAGCTGATTTATATATTGAGAGACACTATTTCAAGGGTGTGTAGTGACAGGACAAGGGGAATGGCTTCAAACTGAGAGTAGATTTAGGTTAGATATTAGGAAGAAATTCTTCCCGGTGAGGCCTTGGCATGGGAGAAGCTGTGGCTGCCCCTGGATCCCTGGAAGTGTCCAAGGCCAGGTTGGACAGGGCTTGGAGCAACCTGGGCTAGTGGAAGGTGTCCCTGCCCATGGCAGGGGATGGAACTGGATGAGCTTTAAGGTCCCTTCCATCCTAAACCATTCCATGATTTTAGGTGTTGTCATCTTGCCCGAGTCCACATGTGGTTGGATAATACTGATTATCCAGTATAAAACTTGGCTGTATGTGCTTGTCCTTGCAGAAGGAAATATCCTTAGTGCTGCTTTGTGGGTCCAGACCACGTCTTTCTGTAGGGAAATTACTTGTCCCAGGAACTGGGACTGCGTCCTGGAGGTGGTAGGTGGGGACACAACGTGTTCCACCCGTGAGGAGGAAGGGGTGGAATGGGAGCTCAGCACAGAGCTCCCCGTGTCTGTCGTACTGTGGGGTCAGCTCTGCCAAAACCAGCAGCACAGCTGGTGCTGGGGAAGCTTCCCAGGCTTTGCTCCTGCCGGACTTGCAGTGGAGGCAACAGGAGGAGGAACGAATCTGTGTTTTAGGAAGGGCTGTGCAGAAGGGTTATAACACTGTGAGGGGTGTTGGCTTTGGTGCCAGCTGAGTACTTTTTTGTTTTGCCTGGCTAAACAGGGATTATCTGTTTGTTCCAGGAGCGGGGAAGGACCACGGAGAGCCAGGAGCCCACAAATCATCTCAACACCTAAATGAAGTTCTAAGTCTGGTGAGCTCACAAACATCTCCTCCATGCCAGAGCTCTGCTGGTCCCACCCTGACCTGCGTGGCTGCGCCTGGGAGGTGCAAATGTTCTGGCAGGGGCTCCCTGAGCATCCTCAGCCTCTGCCAGGGGCTGCCAAGAGCACATTTGTTTGCTGCTGGATGAGACAAACCTTGCAAGTGGGTGCCAGAGGTGCTGCCAGAGCTCCCTGTGAACGAGGAGAAATCAGGACCCTTTCTCTGATGTTCCAAACTTGCTGCTTTGGGGAGGTTGGAGATGAGCAGTTCGTGGTGGGAGCCCCAGGCTCTGTCACAGGCTGTGCTGGGACTCCCCCCAGTTCCAGGGGGGGTCTCTGGGTGCTGCCACATTGCTGACCTGGTTTTTCTGTCTCCAACAGATTTGTTGCTCTGTCTGAAGCCTCACCAGGGAGCACTCCCAGTAGAGATGGCAGGTAAGAGCAGCTCCAGCATGGCAAGGGGGGACAGTGGCTTCACAGAGGGTTGTCTATTGTGCTGTGGTGGCTGTGACACCCCAGGAACGTGACCTGTGCCCCTTCCCGAGACCTTGGTGCTCCCTAAAGCTCTTCAGCTGCTTCTCTTGCCTGGTGAGGTTCACTCTCCTGCTGTGTCCTCTGTGCATCTGCCACCTGAGGTCACTGCTCCGGCGCTAAAGGCGCGGGTGGGACTTGCTTGGAGAGCCTCAGGAGGATGGAATTTATTCACCAGTGAATCCATGAGGGTAATTCCTTCCCTGCAGAGGCTCGTGCTGTTGGTGTTGCTCCCTCTGAATTCCACTTGTAGCAAAACCAGCAACAAAATTCCAGCTTTTTTAAGGCGAGGGAAAGCCTGGAGCTTGCCCCCAGGGGCTGCAGGTTGGTTTCTGAAGGCACAGGGTGTGTCTGCTGGTCCAGTGTGTTGATCCCAGCCTGGATGAGAGAGCTGCAGCACTCCAGGCTCTGCAGTCAGACATGAAGGGGGATGTTTTCATTTCATTTCTTTTGTCTTTCATTTCATTTGAATTTAATTCCTATCTGTTTCCAGTCCAGAACAGTTGGAAACCATGGGGTCTCTGGGAGGGGAAGGAGGAGGTGGGCAGGAGCAGAGACGAGGTGGAATCCCCATCTCTGTGCACCTGGCAAACACTTTGGGGCATTTTGTGAGCTTCAGAAGTGACAAACTGCAGTGGCTGGTTGGTTTTGGCCCCACCATCTGCGCTAGAAACTGGCAGAAAATGGGAAGGGAGCAGAACCACGGGAACAATCCGCATGTTCACAGCAAACAAAAAAAAAACAGTGCTGAGGAGTCCAAATTCCCCTGGCCTTTGACAGCACGTGGTGGGGGCAGCAGCAGGGGGTTAACCAGTAACTGCAGCCAGCTCAGGGGGCAGCTGCATTGGTGCAGAATGGGGCTGGGGGAGGTGGGTGAGGAGGGGCAGCACAACTGATGTTTGTTTGCAGGAGGAGAAGCCGAACTGGGCTGGTGGCTGTTCCACAGCTGCCTCTGCTGTGCTCCCACTGGGGGTTCTCCTCCCCACGTTTTCTGTGTCAAGATATGCGTGGGGAGAAGGCTCTTCCTTCCCAAAGCCTGGCTGAAGCTTTAGGCTCTTCCCTGCCCAGCCTTCCCCCAGAGCTCAGGAGCTGCTCCTGCAAATTGTCTTCTCTCTCCCAGGGAGACGAAGGGAAGAGCAGGAGCTCTGGTTGCTGACAGTTCTTGTTCAGACATTTCCCCTCGTCTCCTGTGCCATTTGGAGGTTTTCCCAGGACATTCTCCATCTCTTCCTCTGGTTGTTTTTGACTCTGTTTACTGGGGCTGAAGGAGACGAGAGACAATTAGTCACAATGCCCTGGGATCAAACTTTAATCAGCTCTGCGAGGCAAGAGCAAACATTCCCAAGCATACAGGAACATCCAGGCACACACAGACAAAGCTGGGAGCTGACAGCAGCTTCAGTGCAGAGGATTTAGGCATTTAATTACTCCATTTTAAAACACAGTTTCTTCCCAAGGTAGGGTTTTCTTCACCACATTGCATTTGGCAGCTCTCACTGATTTATTGTGTCTGAATGCAAAGCTTTTTTCTTTTTTTTATTTGCCTTTTTTTTTTTTTTTTCCCTCTGGGATTTAACCTTGCAGGGAAAAAAAAAAAAATGAAAGTGCCCCTTTTTTCATTGAAAATCACAAGTCTTTAAAAAAAAATCATCCCTGACATAGAATCCTGGAATCCCAGAACAGTTTGGGTTGGAGGGGGCCTTAAAACTCCTTCTAATTGTTTTCTAAGGGACCTCATCCTGGTGAGGGTTTTTTTGTCCTGTGTCAAGGCACTAAGTCCATGTTAGGCTGCTCCTGTTCCCCTCTCCCAGCCTTTGCCCGTCCCAAAATAAACATCATCTGTGAATTCTGTGTTGCAGAAAAGGTGAACAACTTCCCCCCCCTGCCCAAGTTCATCCCCCTGAAGCCCTGTTTCTACCAGAACTTCGCCGATGAAATCCCCATCGACCACCAGTTCCTGGTGAAGAGGATCTACCACGTCTGGATCTGTAAGTTGAGCGAGAAACCTGGGCTGGGGAAAGGTGTGTGGGGGATAAAAACCTCCCCCACAGATCCCAGTGGCTCGTGTGCTTTGAGGTTTTGAGTGTGATTGGCTGGTGAGGAGCAAGGATTCCTCTTAGAACGCTGTAATATAACTTAAAACTGTGATAGAAGTTTCTGCCTAAACTTTGAGCTGCTGTGCCTTGAACCTTTGAAGAGTCTGGAAAGAAAGGAGAGTGCCAGTGCTAGAAGGTTCAGTTAATTTGAAGAGGGGAAAAGGCAGAATACATTTGGTGTCTTTATCAATATCAAGTGATGTGGAATTGTGGAGTGGTTTGGGTTGGGAGGGACTTTAAAGCTCATCCCATCCCACCCCCTGCCACGGGCAGGGACACCTTCCACTGTCCCAGGTTGCTCTTTTGATCCATCCTGGCCTTGGGCACTTCCAGGGATCCAGGGGCAGCCACAGCTGCTCTGAGCAACCTGTGCCAGGGCCTGCCCACCCTTCACAGCCAGGAATTCCTTCCCAATCTCCCACCTCACCCCGCCCTCTGGCAGTGGGAAGCCATTCCCCTTTGTTCTGTCCTTCCATCACTTGTCCAAAGTCCCTCTCCAGCCTTTTTGAACTCTCCAAATTACCCACACTAAGGAAATCCCCAGTTCCCCTAAAGTAAGAGGAATAGGAGAATTTTAGGCAGGAAAATCCCTGTGGCCCCTTTTGCTGCTCCCTGGCTCCAAAACTCACCCTGGGAAGGCTCAAGGTTCCCCTGGTGCCATCCACACATCTCCCTCCCCAGTGGATGCAGTGTTTTCTAGCCACGTGCTGGCTCTTCCTCAGCTCTCCCCAGCCCCCCAGGCGTTCCCCATCCCGCTGGAGGAGGGAGCTGATCCTCCCTGCCAGCTGCTGATGTGCTGACATCCCATGGGCACAGAGCTCCTGCCCCTGGGCTCCCCTTCCCCGCCTCAGCCGCTCCCAAAAGCGGGAATGGAAACAAGACCATTCTCCTCCAGGGAATGCAATCGGTGTGGCAGGCCCAGGAAACCACAGGGAATACTTTGGGAGATTAAAAAAAAAAAAACCTCTTTGCCTTGCTTATCTTTTTTTTTTCCTCCCCAAATGCTTGTTGATCCTCTTCTTGCCCTCCTCGCCGGAGGAAGAGCCCGTTGTCTGCCAGCCCCGCGCTCCGTGGCATGGCTTTCATTCCAGCTGCGTGGGGTGTGTGTAGGAGAGGGATTTGTGTGCACAAATAACGGCACAATCCACTGGCCCCATTGTCCTCTGGTGCTGGGGAGCTGCTGCAATGAGCTCTGTAATTTTCTCGCCTGAAGAAGCCGCCTGTCCCTCCAGACTCGCTGGGCCCGAGGCTGCGGCTCCAAAGCCTCTTTTGTGCTCCCCTCTCCGCGGACAAAGAGTCCCCTCAGCGGAGTTCATGGCAGGCTGGAAGGCTGCCAGGGATTTGGGCATGGCCAAATCTGCAGCAGGAGTTTCACGTTTCCATCGGCACCACCGGGGTCTCCCTGAGTTTTTGGGGTTTTTTAGCAGGGGATAGAGGGAGGGGCAGGCCCAGGGGAGGTGGGAAACGAGGGAAAAAGGGCCAGTTTTAAAAAGCAGCAGCACAAAAGTCACTTCTGGGAGGGTGGGTGCTCGTTGTCTTAAGTGGTTGTGAGCGTTTGATTGAGGTGGAGGGGGATTTTTGGGGAAGCTGGACCAGAGCTCCCACTGCTGGAGAACAAACTCCAAGCTGAGGGCACTGGGAGAGCCTTCAAACTCTACTGAAGTAAACTAAAAGTTCCTTAAAACTTTAGAGGTGCTCTTGGCTTGGTGGTGTTGGTTTGGGTGTTTTTTTTTTAATTGACTTTGGAGAATAAATGACTTCTGAAAATAAGGATTTGAAGTGCAGCTAATTGCTGTATAAACGAAATTCCATAGAATCCCAGAATCCCACACTGGTTTGGGCTGGGAGGGACCTTAAAGCCCATCCAGTGCTCACTCCCTGCCACGGGCAGGGACACCTTCCACCAGCCCAGGGTGCTCCAAGCCCCGTCCAACCTGGCCTTGGACACTTCCAGGGATGGGGAGTTAAACCTTTGTTTAAGCCTGTTAGTTTAAATACCCAGAATTAATTAATTAAAATAAATAGTGTTCTATCTTCCCCCCCAGTATTAAACCACATCCAAACCACTGTGTATAAAGCCTTGTTGGCCACTCAAAGGAATTTCTCTTTGCAGTAAGCAGTGTTTAATTTTAACTCTCAGGCCCTGGGTAAGTCAGAAGCAGCAGCTGAGTTCAGGTGCTCTCCTTTCCACACTGCATTCTCCTCACTGTGCTGCCAGTGGGATTTGAGGGCCAGAAATCCTTGTAGGAAAGGGAAGAGGCAGAAGGAGCAGGCCAGGGAGGGGGGGCAGCAGCATCACTCCATGCACAGCTACTCAGTGCAGCACTGCTGTGCTCTGGGGGCTGTGTCAACTGCTCCTTGTATCCAAGTGACAGCAACAGGGATGGGAAAAGGCCTTTAAGGCACCCCCCTGGTCCCATATTCTCAGCCTGATTGGAGTTTGCTTATCCCCTCACTCAAGGCAGCACTTCCAAGGCTTCAGGCTGACTTCCAGGACTCCTCAGAGGCCCAGGGAGGCGGAGACAGAGCCTGCAAGGCCCTGAGCTGGCTCTGAAGTGGCTCCTGAGGCAGCCCCAGCGAGCACAGAGTCACCCAGTGTGGCTTTACCCCTCTCCTCTCACAAGGGGGGTTTTGCTGCACATGGAAATTGGACCTTGCTCCTAATTCACAATATTACTGCCCTGAGTCTCCTATTGTTGCACTGGTTGCTGCTGTCTCTCCATCCTTTGGCAGGTGCCTGTGCTGCAGGATCCCTCTGGAGCTGGATGTGCTCCAGGGTCACACAGGAACCTGTGACTCCCTGAGCTGCTGCACTGCTGGGCTGGAGCTTCCCACTGCCCCAGGGACCCTTCCCATTACAGCACAGGGGCTTTCACAGAATCCTGGGATATCCTGAGCTGGGAGGGACCCACAGGGATCATCCAGCCCAACCCCTGGCCCTGCCCAGGACACCCCAACAATCCCCCCCTGTCCCTCAGAGCGTTGTCCAAACGCTCCTGGAGCTCTGGCAGCCTTGGGGCCGTGCCCACTGCCCTGGGGAGTCTGGGCAGTGCCCACCACCCTCTGGGGGAAGAACCTTTCCCTGAGATCCATCCCAACCCCCCTGGCACAGCTCCAGCCGTTGTTTTTCGTTTCCTTTCTCTGCAAACTCATGGAACTGCCCCAGCTCTGTCCTCTGCCCTCTCCCCAGTTTACTGCATCACCCTGGCTGTGAACATCGTGGCCTGCCTGGCCTGGTGGATCGGGGGAGGCTACGGGGTCAACTTTGGCCTGGCCATCCTGTGGCTCCTCCTCTTCAGCCCCTGCGGCTACGTCTGCTGGTTCCGACCTGCCTACAAAGCCTTCCGGTGAGTAGGAGCCCACCAGGGGGGGTTCTCTTCCAGTTTCCTCTGGGAGAGAGCTCTGTTGTTACTGGGAAGTGCTCCTGGAGAGATCTCTGTGCCTGGGATAAAGATTTTTTTAATTTTTTTTCCCTTGTTTACTTTGAAAATGAAGAAGACTGTGGTTACTTTTGGTAGGACTGAGGGTCACCCCCCTGGGGCTGGAGTGAGCAGCCACTCCTGGGAGGGTGAAATTCATGTTTCACTTAAATCTCTCAAGCTTAGCTGCACCCTCATCTCAGTACAGCATTAAAATAGACACTGATTTGGTAGAGCTTCACTGAGGCTGATTTGGATGGGGGACTGTTAAGTTATTAGTTTTTTGAGAACTCCTGTGGTTCCTTGAGCTGCTCGAGCACTTGGCTGCTTTGCTTTTCAGATGAAAGCAGCTCCCCGGAGCCAGTCCTTCTGAAACCCCACAAATATTTAAAGCCATCCTGCATTTTCACTTTAATTAATAATCATTTGCATTTGCTGGTGCTTGCTGTGGACAGGAGGCATCGTTCAGACGTTGATGGGAGGGGCCTGAGCAGCTTCCAGCCTGACACAGGGGCAGGAGGGACCTGCCTGGTGTCACCAGCACACCCCAGCCAGGGGTTTGCACCCTGAGGGGGAAGCTCTTTCTGGTGGAATACCCTGGATTCTGAGTATTCCCCAGGTTCTGTGATGAGCTGATGGAAATGGGAGGTGGCAGGCGGGTCCTCTCTGTTTGGCACATCATGAATTAGTTGTTCAAATGCTCTTCTGGATTTGTGTGCCAGCAGTGCTTAAATCACCAGTGACTGCGTGGTGGAGTACAGGGGAGGGTTATTTCTGGTGGAAAAGGAAGTTGTAAATGCCATGAAAACCCCAGCTCTGAGCTGCTGCCCTCTGGGGCTGGGCTTTGTCCCCATCCCAGGCTCAGGAGCCTGAGGGCCCCCGTTCAGAGAGGAATTTCCATTCTGAAGTCTGGGAAAAATTACTCCTCCCCACTGACCTCCCCTGTGCCCCACAAGGGCTGTTTCTAATTATTTCTTTAATGTTGTTTGTGTGTGTTTATGCAACTGGAAGCTGGAAGGTCCCCGAGGTTACTCTGTGCACAGTTAAATAAGGAATCACCCCTGGGACAGAGTGGGGAGCCCAGGGATCATCCATAGCTGGGGAGGAGGCCTGGAAATCCCTGCACTGCTGGTGTGGGATCACAGCTCGTGATTCCAGAGGCCAGGTCAGCCCCAGGGTGCTCTGGAGGAGGCCACCCTTCAGTGGGTGCTGCCCTAAAACCCTCGTCATCCCAAATTAAATTAACTGCAGAGCCCCGGAGCTCGGGCAGAGCTGGAGCAAATCTGCACCAGAAAGCTGGATGAGGAATCACCTTTTCTCTGGATCCTCACTAATTCCTGCAGATCCTTTCAACTGAAGACTCCTCCAGCCCCTTCGGGTCGGAGTTGCAAGAGCCTTGTTGGAAGGCTCAGCCTGGAGCCTGATCCCTGCTAATTGGATTCCGGCAGGCACCGCTGTGAGCAGGCCCTGTTTGAAGGGTTTCTTTCACAGGGCTGTGCTCTGAGGTGCTGTTTGAAGGGCAGGACTGTGGGAGGATGCTCCAGGGTGACAGATCTTCCACAGCATCTCCGTGGCCACCCTTTGGAAGCTGGGGGATGCCTGGACCAGCACGGGTCTGGCCGGGGGCTTTCCCGTGTGTCTCAGACCAGCCAGGAGCCTGAGCTTGGGGTCCCACGTCCTTGGGTGTCAGGGGCTAGAATGATGACACTGACAAATGTAAATATAATAAAAATAATTAAAATAGTAAACATTTAAACACTGTCAGGGTTTAAGCAGGAGCTGGCAGTGACTGGAGCTCCTTTGCACCAGGCTGCCTCACAGTCAACTGCTTGGTGTAAAGCTGTAAAGATGTAAAAATCATTGGCACTTGGAGTTCCTGAGAGGATGGGAATCGTTTGTATAATTAAAAATGGTAGTTTGGGGAGTTGTAGATGTGCCTGACGTAGCTGGTTCAATGGGGTGGAGATGTTCTGGGGCAGAGCCCAGACCTGGGGGCAGGGCCGTGCTGTGCCCCCAAGTGCCCCCCTGACAGAGACCTTGTTTGGGTCATTGTCATGCTGATTATTGTACCTGCATAAAACTCCAGGACCTCACCTGTACATCCTGAGGATGGGGAGCCTGCAGAGATGGCAGTTGTGCCTCTGCTCTCAGGGCACCACCCCCTCTCTCTTGGCTCTCTTAGTGTGTCCAACGCTGGGTTATTGACCGTGGGCGTGTGAACACCATGGCAGGCAGGCACTGGGACATTCCCAGCTGGAATTCTCGTGCTCAGTGGTCACTTCCAGTGTGTGTGGACAAGCTCTGCCTGCCAGTGTCAGGTCCCTGTGTGCCTCCTTGCCATTGGTGAGCTGGGCAGCGTCAGGCTGGGCTGATGTGTGGTCAGAGAAGGATTCAAACACGCTGCAGGAGACTCTCGTGTCTCTCCTCGTGTGTCATCCTTGTGCAGTTCCTGGGGTGGAGCACTGCAGGAGCCAGGTGATGGGGAGGGAATAGGAGCTGTGTGATCCCCCTGCCAGGGGCACAGGAGGAGCCTCCCGAGCACAGGAATCCCTCAGGAGACACGAGCACAGGTATCCCTCAGAAGACACCCCGTTTGTGGGGCCAGACATCAGTGTGAGGCAGCACAAGGTGGCAGTGCCCCCCTGACCCCCTCTGTCCCTCCTCTGTCCCTCTGCAGGTCAGACAGCTCCTTTAACTTCATGGCCTTTTTCTTCATCTTCGGGGCGCAGTTCGTCCTCACGGTCCTGCAGGCCATCGGCTTCTCCGGATGGGGGGCGTGGTAAGTGGGGTGCTCTGGCAGCAAACCCTCAGCCTGGGGCTCTTCCCCCTGCTTTTTTGAGAACCTGGGAGGTGTCTGTACAGGGTGGAGTGGGAGAAGCTTTCAGCTTTCCCTTGGGCACAGTTATATCTGCCCTTGGAGAGGGGCACAGTTCGGGTTCCCTCGCTGGGCTGGCAGAAGTTGGACAGAGCTTGGGGCAACCTAGTGCCAGGTGACTGGATCTTCAAGGTCCCTGCAAACCCAAACCATCCTGGGATTCTGTGATCTTCACCTGCTTGTTCTTTCTAGCACTTCCCTCGGTGCCCGTTCCTTTCACCGTTTAACCGGGCTCAGCTTTGCCCTCAGTGCTGGCAGAGCAGGGGGGGATGGACTCACTGTTGGCCTGTGGAGAAGAACTGTGAGAGTTCTCCTAAAATAAATGGGAGTGTGTTGGTGTCTGTCCCTGGCTGTGTTATAATGGTTTCACAGACTCCCAGAATATGCTGAGCTGGAAGGGACCCTCAAGGATCATCAGTCCAACCCCCAGCCCTGCTCAGGCCCATCCCCAGGAGTCACACCCTGTGCCCCAGAGGGTCATCCAAAGGCTTCTTGAGCTCTGGCAGCCTTGGGGCATTTGTTTGGCATTTTAACTTCCTGTGACAGCTTGAGAGTGATTCCTGCTGAAACAACAAGTCATGCAAAGGCCCAGCACACCCTGGGACACTTTGCTTTCAAAGCCCTCTCCCCAAACTCTGTGCTGTCCCCTGAAGCTCTGAGAGTGGATTAGCAAGGGGTGCTGACCAGTGGGAGTTGAGAGCTTGGGGAAATCCCTGCTTTTCATTCTGTCCATCTTCCTCGTTGCTCTTTTAATTCCCAAGAGCTTTTTAAAGCTGCCTTGTAATTTCTGGGCCATGAATCCCAGGATGGTTTGGGTTGGAAGGGGCCTTAGAGACCATCTCATCCCCTCCCCTGCCACGGGCAGGGACAGCTCCCACTATCCCAGGCTGCTCCTTTGCTCCAACCTGGCCTTGGACGCTCCCAGGGATGGGGCAGCCACAGCTTCTCCAGGCAACCTGTGCCAGGGCCTGCCCACCTCTGACAAGAAGGACACCTTGGAAAGGGAGTTCTAATGACTTTTCCTCTCTCCTTGTGCCTCCTGCAGCGGGTGGTTGGCAGCCATCACCTTCTTCAGCACCAACGTGGCCGCCGCCGTGTTCATGCTGTTCCCTGCCATCATGTTCACCATGTCAGCCGTGGCCATGCTCGTCTGCATCTTGAGGGTGGGTTCCTCTCGTGGGAGGTGTCCCTGCCCGTGGCAGGGCAGGGAGGGGGGTGGAATGGGATGGGTTTTAAAGGTCCCTCCCAGCCCAAACCATTCTGGGGTCCTTCAGATCCGTCTCTGACTCGGATTGCCAGAGGTGTTCAGACAGTGGGTGGATGTGGCCCTGGGGGACGTGGTGTGGTGTTAGTGCAGGGTTGATGGTTGGACTTGGTGACCTTAAAGGTCTTTTCCAACCTCAACAGCTCCTTAATTTCCCCCTGCGGTGGGGACTGGTGGCAGGGTGGGAAGTGGTCCTCTGCAGAAAGAAGGATTTGGAGGTGGGCCTGTCTGGAGAGCTTTGGCAGATGGAAGAGGAGGGGAGAGGCCCTGAGGAAGCAGAAGCATCAATATTGGAAAGGTTTCAGCCCTCTCACCTCTGGCTGCCTTGCTGGGGGATCCTTCACCTCAAATCCAGGCATGTGGCTGGAATGGGTCCAATTCTGGTGTTAATACCATTTATTTCCACCTCTGTTCACTGTAGTACTGCATTTTTAGTGCTGTTGTTCCTCAGAAATGCAGCTCTTGGCACAGAGAGAGGAACAAATCCTCGATGCAGGTGGCTGCAGCTCTGCAGGGCTGAGGGCTCCTGGTGGTGACTCCTGTTCTCCCTTCCCTCCATCAGGTACATAAAATCTACCGAGGGGGTGGTGGAAGCTTCCAGAAGGCTCAGGACGAGTGGAACAGCGGCGCCTGGAGGAACCCCCCCAGCAGGGAGGCCCAGTACAGCAATTTTTCTGGGAACAGCCTGCCAGAGTACCCCACAGTGCCCAACTACCCCCCAGGAAACCAATGGCCTTAAGCAGCAGCAGCTGCAAACTGCCTGGATTCTCTCCTTTTTGGTCTTTTTATTCTTGTTATTGGAAAAGATCATTTGCATTCCCCCCTGCCCCCCCTCCAGGCACCCCAGTCACCTTTTTGGGACCTTTCTGGTTCTTGTCTCCTGGTCCCCGTGGAAGATCCTGCCAGCCCTTCCCACCTCCACTGCACGGCCGTGGCACAAAGCTTTTTGTTTTGCCTTGACCTACCAGTATTTGCCTCGTTGCAGACTGAGGAACAAACCCTTCAACACCTGCCCTTCCTCGAGGGAATCCTCTCCTGACCATCCCCGAAAAAGACTCGACTTCCCCCGACAGCAACACTAACCACAGCTGCTCCTGCTCCTGCTCAGCTTCCCTGGAATGCACAGCAAACCCCCCAGCAATCCCAGCTTTAGTAGCGACTGGTGTTTACTCTCCTGGATGAATAATGTGGAATTTTTCACTCTAAGGGAAATGCAACACTTAAATTATGTGGTACCAGTGACACGGAAGGGATCTGTGAACCCCCTGGGATTGGGAGCTGCTGGGATGTGAAGGCCACAGGAGTCCTCCTTTGCCTGGCTCAGACTGTCCTCGGTGCCCCAAGTCCTGCCTTCCCTGCTGCCAAAGCTTTGTGCCGGATCCTTGTGCTTCACATTCATCTCATGAGGTTGGTGGTTGCTCACTGGAAACCCCGAGTGGAAGCCCAGCCCAGGGTGTGCACCCCGGGGCAGGGCTCAGCACCAGAGTCCCCACCGTGTACCCTCCAGCCAGGCCTTGTGCTGAGCCAAGGAATGCCCCACCAGACACAGCCTGTCCTGCTGGGGCTCTCCCTTTTCCTGGGCTCCCTTTTCCTGGGCTCCCAGCCAGAGCTGGATGGGAAGATGACGCCTGCTCTCGGTGCTGGGCCCCCAGGGTGTGGTTTGGAAATGGTTCTGTTGCAATGAATGGTTCAGAAATTCTGCTGATGGGCTTGGACTCCAAACGCTGCCGTGGGCTCTGGGAGGACAGTGGGAGCTGGGCAGTCCTGCTCTGCAGCACTCCCAGGAGAGGGACACTGCTGCCTTTCTCCAGGATCAGCTGGAGGGAGGATGAAGCTGCTGAGAGGGGTTGTTTCCTCCCTGGCCTCCACCTCTCCGTTCATCTCCACCCCGTGCCTGCACACCAGGGCTCCTGGAGCCTGAGCCATCCAATTCCCTGTGTCCCTGTGGGTTTCCTCTTCCCCCTCAAAACCTGCTGTGATTTTTTTTTTTTTTTTCAAAACTGGGAGGTCAGTCCCCAATATTTTTATAGGGAGTGAGTGTCCCAAGCCTGTGGCTCTCAGATTTTTGGCCAGTGATCCGGAGTGCTCCATGTGGGGGATCTGGGAGGGGTTGGGCACCCCAGGGCTCTCAGTGGGGTCACCCCAGAGCCACCCTGAGCAACTGGAAAACAGAACTGGCTCCTGGAAAAGGGACAGGGAGGTGGTCCTGGCTAGGTGGAACAGATTTGCAAGTGATCTTTTGAATATTTTCTCTACATGTGCCTTATCTAACGGAATCATAGTTCATGGAGGAGAATCCCCCTCCCCTCCCCCATCCCTGCGGAATTCGCTATTAACTCGTCCTGTGTCACTGTCAATAATGAGGGAAGCACAGCCTGGAGTCTGCATGACCCACCTTTCCAGGGCCAACCCCCAAAAGTGGAGGGCAGAGCCTCCCTGAATTTCAGTTTACAAGCAGCACTGACCCCCCCTCCCCCTGCTGCAGGACCAGGCTCTGGGACACGGAACGTGCTCCCGACTCCAGGGGTTCCTCCTGGCCAGCGTGGCAGCACGAGTGCTCAGAGCCTCCTTCCCAAACACATTGTGAAGCTTTTTAGGTGCCTTTGTCTCGTGTCAAGTGATATTTGAAGTGTTCTCTGTCGCTTGCCATCGGAGCGATCCAAGAACTGCCTGGCGTTGACTCCCTGGAAATACGATGGGTGAGGGGCACTGATGGGGTGGAAGGTGGCACTGGCCACCCTTGGGTGCACCATGCCCTGGCCCCTCTGCCTCCTGCCAAAATTCTTCAAAACCCACTTGGTTTCCGCCCTTTCCGAGCGCGCCAGGTGGGAGGTTTCGAAGGAGAAGCGTGGTGGGGACTCTTCCTTGGGTCATCTAGGGGGGCTGTGGTTAAGCTCCCACCCCCAGCCACGCTGCCAGTGCTTGGTACAAGGGGAGAGGGGGTTCTTGGGAGCCTTCCCACCGGAATGGCTGGAGCTGGACATCAAAATCACACCCTGTCAGCTCCGTGGACCTCCAGGATCTGCCACCTCACCCCCCTCCCTCCCCCTCGATGCCACAAACGTAATTCCAGAAAGTCAACCCCCCCTTCCCCCCCCACACGCTGCCTGAACAACTTATTTTGTGGCTTTTTTTTTTTTTTTTGGACTCCTCTGTATGTTTTTAAATGTTTACATTAGATTTGTAAGAGTTCTTAACACCCCCAGCCTGGGCCTGGCTCCGGCCGTGTCTGTGTGCGATGTCTCGTGTCACCCGTGGAGCTCTGGAGCTCTGTTTGTGTTTTCTTCTCCTGATCACAAGACAATAAATGCTCATCCTGTGCTTGATGAGAAGAACTGGCTGCATCGGGGAGGTGTCTGTTCCTAGGTAACCAGAGTTCCCTGGCGCAGGGAAATGGCAAAATCTCTTCTTTTCCTCCCCAACTCTCTCACCGCGTGGTGTTGTTTTCTCGGGGAGGGAGCACGCTGATGGAGGGAGGCTCATCCTCTGTGCTGGGCGCTGGTGGGAGTGGTTTGTGCTCTCAGAGAAAAGGCCCCACAGCTTTTACCAAAGCTGCTGCCATTATTCTCGTTTTCTGAGGACAGGGAGCAGAGGGGGGTGGTGGGGAGAAAGTCCCATCTCCCGAGCTCTGGGGTCGAGTTCCTCCTGCCCTCTCCCCAGTCCTGGCCTCTGCCTTCCCCAGTTCACTGCCCCAGGGGACACTCTCCCCCCTGCAGTAAATGGGCTGTTGGACAGTGAAGGTGAATTGAGTCTGCTCAGCACGTGGCTGAATTTACTGCCCCAGATTAGAACCCCAGAATGGTTTGGGTTGGGAGGGACCTTAAAGCCCACCCAGTGCCACCCCCTGCCATGGGCAGGGACACCTTCCACTAGCCCATGTTGCTCCTTTGATCCAACCTGGCCTTGGACACTTCCAGGGATGGGGCAGCCACAGCTCCTCTGGGAATTCCATCCCAGCCTCTCCCCACCCTCACAGCCAAGAATTCCTTCCCAATATCCCATCTCACCCCTCCCTCTGGCACTGGGAAGCCATTCCCTGTGTCCTGTCCCTCCATCCCTTGTCCCCAGTCCCTCTCCAGCTCTCCTGGAGCCCCTTTAGGCCCTGCAAGGGGCTCTCAGGTCTCCCTGGAGCCTTCTCTTCTCCAGGTGAACCCCCCCAGCTCTCCCAGCCTGGCTCCAGAGCAGAGGGGCTCCAGCCCTGGGAGCATCTCCGTGGCCTCCTCTGGGCTCATTCCAACATCTTTCTTGTGTTGGGGGCCCCAGAGCTGGACACAGACCTGTACAGGAGTTACCACATTGTGGCTTCACCCCCAGTTCTGCTCCGTGGCAGATCCTGAATCCTCGAGCTGTTTCCATCACGGCTGCTGATGCAGCATCTGCCAATCTCAGCATCTCCCTTCTCTCCGAAGATCTGTGCCAGGTGCCCTCTGCCCACCCCTCCCTCCCACTCTGACAGTGGTTCCCTTCAGCTGCTGTGCCCTGCTGTCCTGAGCACGGGAACAAAATGGATTTTCCTTAAATTCCTGCTCCAGGCCCTCGAAATCTGAGCATGAGGCACATTTTGAGCTGCTGCTCCAGCTGCTGCTCAGGCAGCACCTCGGCCCTTGTGATCCACAAATCCTCGGACTGCCCACACTCAGGACAGGGCAGGATTTGCCAGGAAGGTGGGAATGGGGAGATTATTTAGCCAAGCTCAACCTCCCCCCACCCCGAGGAGCTCCCAGAAGGCTCAGGATCCCCAGGGTCAGGGTGTGAGGGACCTGCCAGGCTGTTCCTTTTGTCTGCTTCTCGCTGTGTTTCTGTCCCTCTGCAGCTTCCCAGCCCCGGGAAGGTGTGGGAAGGTGTCACCCCCTGCCCCTGGAGCAGCTCGTTCTCCCGTGCAGTTCCAGTGGCTCCTTTTGTGTTGTGTGCTTGGGAATGAGCCCCGGTTGTGCCGTGGCTGCAGGAGGGGCAGGGTTTGGATCGGGATGTTTTCCCAACACAGCTTCCCTGGCTTTTCCTCCCTCCCCGCTCCCACGGCACGAGCTGCTGTGTCCCCCTTTGGCACCCCGTGTGTTCACCCTGCAGGTTCGCCCTGAAATAAAACCAGATCTTTCTCTCCCCCTCTCCTCTCTCTCCTGCTCCAGAGGATGGGTCAATTTTAACAATTTTGAGCTCTCCAAGTGCTCGAAATCGCCTCGAAATCGCGCGGGGTGGGGGTGGTGCCGAGGGGGAGGGGAGGGCGCGGCTCTGCCCTCGGGGACTTCGGGGGTGATTTTATCTCTCTGGGGGCACGACCCCTCCCCAGCCCCCTGAGCCGTGCCACGGCACGGGGAGCGGCGGGAATTCACGCGTGGGGAAGCTCGGGATTCTCCCGATTGTAGAAGGAAACACCTACAGGGGAAAACCCTTCAGCCAAACGTTAGGGTGGGGGGGACAGAATTTCCCTGGAAAGAATCCATTCAAGCAGCTGGAAATGGGTACCTGGGGTGATGCTGATGAAGATCTGACTCTGTCCCAAACCCACCCAAACTCAGCCCATTCCCGGGAAATGTTTTTGGGGTGAATCTGCCCCGAAGAAGATGAGAGAAGGGGGGTCCTCTCCCTCCAACGTTACCCTGAGAGCCTCAAACAGGGAAGAGAAGGAAACAAACGTCTGGCCGTGCCTTCTTTTGCCAAGGGGAGCAGGGAGGGAGTTTTTATGGCCAAATGATGGGTGGGAATAATTCCCAAACCAAAGAAAGCGGAAGGTTTTAGGAGGTGGCAGCAGGGGCTGTGTCCCTGCCTGGTTCCTGTGTCCCTGCCCAGCACATCCCACAATCCCGGGGCTCTGTCTCCCTTGGAGAGGCTTTGCCTGGGCTGATGTTCTCAGAGAGCTGCCAGTCCCTGTAAAATCCCACCCCCTGCTCCCACGGGATGAGCTGTGGGGCTGCAGCCCCTCCGTGGGACCCCCAGCCTGTCCCCCTCCCCACAGACTGCCCTGGAGGGCCCAGAGTGGGGCTGGATGGGGGGTGGGGGCTGTGCCCTAAAATGGGGGCTGTGGCAGAGTGGGGCTGTACCCAAAAAAGGGCCGGTACCCCTAAAAGGGGGGCTGTACCCCAAAAAGGGGCTGTACCCCAAAATGGGGGTGTACCCTTGTACAGGGGCTGTGCCCTAGGAAGGGGCTGTACCCCAGTGTAGGGCTGTACCCCCAAACGGGAGCTGTACCCCCAAAACTGAGGCTGTACCCCCAAAAGGGGCTGTACCCCAACACATGAGGCTGTACCCCAGCACGGGGCTGCACCCCCAAACGGGAGCTGTACCCCGTGCTCTGCTGGCCACACACTCGAGGCCTGTCCCTGCACCCCAACCCTCCCGCTGCCCCCGCCGCAGCCCTATCGCCATCCCGGTCGCGACAACCCACGCTGGGGCCGCATCCCGAAGCGTGCTGTCCCCCGCGTGGGTCCCTCCAGCGCAGCCTGCCCCCCGCGGTGCAGCAGCAGCAGCAGCAGCAGCAGCAGAGCGCGGGGTCCCTGTCGCCTGTCGCGACAGCGCCGCGGGGCTCGCGCCGAGGAGGAGGAGGAGCCGCCGCCGTAAAGCGCGGCCGCCGCCGCAAAACCCGCGCCGCGATTCCCGAACGCGCGGGCCGCATTCACAGCGGCGGGGACGGCAGCGGTGGGGACGGCAGCGGTGGGGACGGCCTGGGCGCGGGGCCCGCCCAGCAACCCGCGGGGACCCGCGCCGGTAGCGGAGCGGGCTCTACGCGCTGGGCTCGGCCCGCACGCCGTTAGCGCAGCCCCTGCGCCGTTAGCGCAGCCCCTGCGCCGTTAGCGCAGCGCGGCCTCTACGCCTTTGGAGCGGCTCTTACGCCGTTAGCGCAGCGCACACTTTACGCCGTTAACGCAGTGCTCTCTTACGCCGTTAACGCTCCCTTACACCGTTGGCACAGCGCCCCCTTACGCCCTTAACGCAGCCCTTACGCCCTTAACGCAGCCCTTACGCCCTTAACGCAGCCCTTACGCCCTTAACGCAGCCCTTACGCCCTTAACGCAGCCCTTACGCCCTTAACGCAGCCCTTACGCCCTTAACGCAGCCCTTACGCCGCTGGCGCAGTGCCCCCTTACGCCGTTGGCGCAGCGGCCGGCGCAGGGCAGGCTGAGGCGCGGAGAGCGGGGCCGGGCCGGGGGCGCCGCCGCCATGGGGGAGCGGCCGCGGGGCAGCGGCGCCGCCCGGCGCTGAGGGACCCGCCGAGGTAACGCCGCGGGGAGGGGGGACCGGGAGGGAGCGGCAGGCACGGGGGGGACGCGGCTCGGCACGGCCCGGCAGCGCCGGCAGGAACAGGCCGCGCCGGGCGGCGCCGCGGGCAGGGGCGTTGGGGGCGCGGGGAGGAGGGGGCGGCGGGCGCTGAGGGGGCCGGGGGTGCCGAGGGCTGCGGGCGCTGAGGAGGTGCCCCGGCTCGGCACGGAGGGCTCGGGGGTGGTGAGGGTGAGGAGGGGGCTGTGGTGGGCCCGGGGGTCGCGGCGGGTGTGTGGGGTCCGGCGGGATCGAGAGTGGGGGGGGTTCTGAGGTCGGGGATCGGCGGGTTCTGGGCCGGGGGCTGAGGGCCCGGGGCCGCCTCGCTCCGTCCCCTCCCGGCTGTGCCTGTTCGGTGGCCCCCTGGGAGGGGTTCAGGCTCCCAGGAGAGGGTTCAGGCTCCCCAGGGGGGGTTCAGGCTCCTCAGGGAGGGGCTCAGGCCCCCCAGGATCCCCCAAGGCCCGGGGGGCGCTGGGGATGCGGTCGGATCCTCCCCCCCCCACCCCGGCCCGCACCCTGCCCCGGCCTGCAGGATGTTGGCTCCTTTGTATGTGGCTTTTCCTCTCTCTCCGGAGGGGTTTGGGAAGTGTTTATTTGAGGAGGGGGGAGGTGGGGTGGAAGGGCCTGTGCCGAACGTGGTGTTTAAAAACGGATTTTTCTTTTTTTTTTCTTTTTTTTTTTTTTTTTCGTTTTCATCAGCGACGCGGGTGAGGATGAATGTGAGAAACAGGAAAAAGTGCCCTCCCCCCCCTCCTGCCCCCAGCAGGCAGGAGCCGATCCGGGCCGCCCCTGAGGTTTGCAGAGGAGCAGCAGCTCTGCCGGGGAGGCCCCGCGGCTCCCGCCCCTGGCTGGCAGGAGGGAGCTGGGCCGGGAATCCGAGCCTTGGATCCCGGGCAGCGAACAACTGGCAAGTTGTGGGGATGGTCAGGAAGGTGCCTTTTTCTTTTGTGCTCCCAGGACTTGCCGTGTTTTTGGTGCGTTTTGGAAGTGAAAACCCAAAGTTTGACGAACCTCTGGTGGAGCTGCCACATTAGTCCTTTCCAAGGCAGCTCGAGGTAACCAGGACACGGGTGGAAAGGTGTGTTAAAACCTCTGGAAGCCGCCTCGTTAACCGGATCCATCCGTTTTCCCCTCTGCACAACAAGTGGTTGCAGATGTGGAAGTGCAGCCCGAGCAGTGTGGGAGTTCACCTGCCAGGCTGCCACGCACACAGAGTGCCCCCCATCTCCCCGTGGCCACCACGGGGGCTTCAAAATTGGGCCTTATGTAACAGATTGGAGCAAACGTTTGGTGTTTGCCAGTGGTCTGACAAAGAATCGCTGCAAATTAGGGCAGGAGGCCTCCGTGGGGAGCCCTCGCCGTGGCGGGATAGGCTTGGCTGCTGGGAGGAACTTGCCAAAGATTTGTTGGTTTTGTTTTAATTTGGTGCTCTGCAGATAGGAGCGTTGTTTGGGCGGTGTTTTGTCGCTCCCTTGGCACCTCTGGGGCGCTGGGAGGGGTCGTGGTCCCGAGCTGCAGACTGGGCTGACCCCACTGTGCCCAGGTTTGTGGGGGCGTGGAGTTTGGGGGGGCTGTATGGGGTGACTCTGCCCGGGGGTTTGATCTCCTCCCTGTCGGCTGGCAGATCTGTGAGGCTTATAAATCACTTGTAATTCACCTAAAAATCAGCTGAGTGGTTCCTCTGCCTCCCTGCTCTGCTCCTGCACACCGAGGGGGGCAGCTGGTGGTGGTTTGCAGGGGACACTTTGTGTCCAGGCCCTCTGATGGACCTCCCTTGCAGCGAGGTGTGTGCTGGGCGCTCCTGGTGGGGCTCCTGAGAGGAGGAGGAAGAGGAGGAGGAGAAGTTGGCCCTGGCAGCTGGGCAGGCTGCTGGGCACTGCTCTGCCGGTGCCCCTTGTTTTGTATTCCGTGTCCGAGCTCCTGAGCAGCTCCGGGTGTTGTCAAAACTGTTCATACGGGAGTGACTCAGCGGATCAGTGGGAGTGACATGAGGGTTGTGCTCATGGACAATCGGTATTTTTTTCCCCCTCCAGCCCCACTGGGCTGGAAGAGACCGTGTCTGAGAGCAGCTGCCAATAAACATCTTTACTGGACTCGGGCCTGCCTGTGCTCCGGAGCTGTCTCCCCCCGCCCACTCCCCCCTCTCCCGTGGTTTTCCCAGCTCGGAGGAGCTGGGATGAGCTACTGGAGCAGCACTCCCGTGCTGTGGCTGTGGCTGCTCCCTCCAGGTGCTATAAGGCCCAGTCCCCGTGCGAGCCAGTGTGGGTAGGAAGCTGTTTATCTCTGCTCTCAGACAGGAACTGCAGCTCGACAGGCACGGAAGGCTCAGGGGGAGGGTGAGGGAGCCTCGGGAGAGCAGCAGCCCCTGAGATGCCGCTGTGGGGTGTGGGGTGTGCAGGAGCCCCTGCCTGCTCTCAGCAGGGCTGTGGGGTTTGGTACCAGCACACGGTGCCCTGGTTCGCCCTGCGCCGCTCCTGAGACTTTCAGCTGCAGTTCAGGGAATCAAACCCTCCTCCCTCGTGGGTGCCAGCTCAGGAGCCTCCTGGGTGTGCTTGCCACGGCTGTCTGCTCAGGGCTGGGAGCAGCTCTGCCCACAGCCCTGGCATTAGGCTCTGCCTGGGCAGACGTGGCTGGCCGTGGGCACAGGGAGAAGCTGTGGAGCTGAGCCTCCTTCCTCGGCCCTGCTGGGGTCTGGCTGTGCCCTGGGAGCCAGGAGGGGAAGGAGGGAGAGCAGGTCCCAGCAGCTCTGGGATTCCACTGCCAGAAGAGCTGTGTGCCTGGGAGTAGTTTGGGGTTTTCACCACAGTGGCTGTTTCTGTGGCTGGAGAGGAGCAGCAGCTTTGGCAT